AAAAGAAATGAGGATAGCCCTGAGTTGATTATTGGTTTAACTAGGTGTTTATTACTCTCCACTTTTATATATGTATGTTTGAAACCTCCCATTAGATTGTAAAAAAAACATAGTAACTTGGGCCGGGCACGGTGGCTCACTCCTGTAATCCAGCACTTTTGGGAGGCTGAGGCAGGCGAGTAAGAGGTCAGGAGATTGAGACCATCCTGGTCATGGTGAAACCCCATCTCTACTAAAATACAAAAAATTAGCTGGGTGTGGTGGCACTTGTCTGTAATCCCAGCTACTCACAAGGCTGAGGCAGGGGAATCGCTTGAGCCTGGGGAACCGAGGTTGCAGTGAGCCGAGATTGTGCCACTGCACTCCAGCCTAGCGGCAGATCAAGACTCCGTCTAAAAAACAAAATACATAATAACTTGGATGGGAGATTTTGAATGCTACCTCTGTGTAGTTTCTTGGCTAGTATTTTGGCCTATAAGTTGTTAGAACTGTTAGAAAATCTAGGTTCTCAAGTTAGGAAAAGCCTCCTGCAAGAAAAATGTAGAACGTCTCTCAAGTCAAACAAGAATACAAGTTCCCGGAAGGCATTTCTTACCCATCTTGATAGCTTCTGCTACTAGTACATATTTGTTTAATCAAGCAGTCATCATAAAGTACTGATAAATATTTAAGGATTTTACAAATGCTAGATGATTTGTGAGAATATGGTCAAAATTTAAATACTCTCAGCATACTTTTATTTCTTTTTTTTTTTTTTTTTTGAGACAGAGTCTTGCCCTTTTACCCAGGCAGGAGTGCAGTGGTGCAATCTCGGCTCACTGCAACCTCCACCTCCCAGGTTCAAGCAATTCTCCTTCCTCAGCCTCCGTAGTAGCTGGGATTTGGGATTACAGGTGGACATCACCACGCCCGCCTAATTTTATTGCATACTATTATTTCTAACATGGAAGTTCCTAATAACTTCAAGAATAATTTTTGTGACTTAAGTACAAGTCTTTATGGCATGGTTTTAGCCTATCTTTCTTTTTCGAAACAATTCTTATTTTATAGTGATGGTAAGTTCCATAAGAGCCAGGACAGTGTTTCTCTTATTCATCGTTATGTCTCCCAAGCCTAGACCATATTGGATCCTCACAAGTATTTGCTTAGTGAACTTTTAATTCAACATATAGAACCCTTTCTAATGTGTTTTTTCTCTCTCTCCTGCTAACCTTCTCAACCCTAGGCCTACAACATGGAACCACAGGTTACTCTAAATGTGACTTTTAAAAATGAAATTCAAAGTTTTCTGGTTTCTGATCCAGAAAATACAACTTGGGCTGATATCGAAGCTATGGTGAGTGTTACTTTATTTTGTTTCTCCACGATTTAAGCATGGTTATTTTTTCCAAAGGTAGCTATTTTTAGCAATGTTGTTTCATAGCTGTAAAGTCTGTCATAGTTACCATTTCTGGGCCTTTTGGAAAACTGCTTTTGACAGGCGTTCAGTAATCATATATGAGATGTGCCCCGATAAAGGGAACAAACAAATAAGCTTGCTTTTGAAGATTTTAGAAAGGGAAGGTAAAATCGTTTTTCGTGAGATAGGATTTAGAAAACCTATTAATTTTAGAAACAGCATGAGGAATGAATTGGTGTGGGCTCCACCCCAACCAGGTCCCAAGGAAATGTTCTCTTGTGTGAGGATATGACTTGTGCTTTGTGAGAGACTATTGATTGTTTTTATTGCTAGGTCAGAGGTTGAGTATCTCAAAGTTGAACAGCAAAAACTTCCATACCTGCTTAAACAGCAGTTATCTGTTCCGTTTTTTTGCTAATGCTTTTCCTTCTCTTGGTTTGCCCTTTGTACTTTTCTGTTTTTCTTCAGTTTGCAGTGGTGAATGTTTTACTTCCTCTATTGACTGTGTTTCTCTACTGAAACCCTTTCATAAAAATCTACTTTAACCTGGTTATATCTGATGGTAACTAAAAAGGAAAAGAAATGGTAGAAAAACCTTAAAAGATGATCTAATGTAGTTGTCTGCCTTCCAGCAAATACCTGTTTATACTGCCCTGACAGTGACAGTGAGACCCATCCCAAAAAACAAAAAACAAACAAACAAACAAAAGACTGGATTCAGAAAGAAGTTGGGTCTTATTTGTCAAAAGATGTGAAAATAACGGTTATCTTTTTTGTCCTAATAGTTAAATGAGCTGACAGCTTCCCTTTTTTCTTCATTGTAAATTTTAAATTGTAAAAGTGTAATACATGCCCACTTTAAGTAGAGAAACAATCTCAAGCAGTTAATATACCTCTACTCTCCCTCCCCGCATCTTTTATTCGCACCTGTTTTGGGTAACCAGTGTTAACAGCCCTGTATGTGCTTTTTCCATGTTCATTCCCTTTTCCATGTTCATGCAGATATCATACTAGGATCATACTATAAACATTATTCAGCTGGGTACAGTGGCACACACCTGGAATCCCAGCACTTGGGGATGCTGAGGCAGGTGGTCCACTTGAGCTCAGGAGTTTGAGACCAGCCTGGGCAACTTGGTAAAACCCCATCTCTATAAAAAACAAACAAACAAACACACTCTCTCTCTCTCTCTCTCTCTCTCTCTCTCTCTCTCTGAGTTGGGTGGATTGCTTGAGTGTGGGAGGTTGAGGCTGCAGTGAGCTGAGATCGAGCCACTGCACTCCAGCCTAAGCGACAGAGTGGGACCCACCTCAAAAAAAAAAAGGGGGGGGGGCTGGGTGTGGCGGCTAACGCCTATAATCCCAGCACTTTGGGAGGCCAACACGGGCAGATCACAGGGTCAAGAGATTGAGACCATCATGGCCAACATGGTGAAACCCTGTCTCTACTAAAAATACAAAAATTAGCTGGGCGTGGTGGCACGTGCCTGTAGTCCCAGCTACTTGGGAGGCTGAGGCAGGAGAATTGATTGAACCTGGGAGGCGGAGGTTGCAGTGAGCCAAGATTGTGCCACTGCTTTCCAGCCTGGCGCCTAGTGACGGACCGAGACTCTGCCTCAGGAAAAAAAAAAAGGTTTTCAGGTTTTTTTCTTCTTATCATGAAATTACAGAAGATAACTTATATGCTATTCTACAAGATAAACTGTCCTATACAAATGTGAGATTAATGGGTCACAAAACATTTTATTTGAAATTTTAATAGATTCTGCCAAATGCTTTGCAGAACAATTGTTGCAGCACCCAGAAATATCTCACAGTGTCCTGAATTTTTGCCAACACTGGATGTTATGGCTTTAAAAAACATTTGCTGTTCCCTACCCCATGTCCCCCCAAGGAAAAACATACACACAAAATTGATAAGATAGCATCTCATTGCTTCAATTTGCAATTTTCTAACCACCAGAAAGTTTGAAAGTCTTCTGATGTATTTGTTAGGTGTTCTGATTTCCTCTTCTATGAATTTTATGTATATTTTTACCTGTGTTATTAATTGTATCACTAGCAGTTTTGCGGATGCTCTGGGTGTGTTGCAGATATTAACCCTTTGTTATGGGTTGTTATGGTTGTTCATTGTTTGTCTTTTGATTTTGTGGGTTTTTTAACTATAAAATATTTAACATTTATGTAATGAAATATGCCCAACTCATCCTTTGATTTCTGTGTACATTATAACCTGCCTTTAAAAAATGTGTATTTCTTTTGTAGGTAAAAGTTTCATTTGATCTGAATACTATTCAAATAAAATACCTGGATGAAGAAAATGAAGAGGTAAAATATATTATGGTACTTATTGCTAGGTATTCAGAATAGAAATCTTATTTCTCCAGTGATATGGGCTTTAATAATTCAAAATAGTGTTTATCTCATTTGCGTGGTGGTTTAAATGTATTTGATAATTGAATATTCTAAGAAGACTTGCAGCATCTGAGATGGAGTTGAAAAATGGAGAAGCAGCACTGAAGAATATCTCAGAGATAACTTTTACAATTTTTAAAAAAACAGAAACAGGGTCTCACTATGTTGCTCAGGACAGAATTCCTGGGCTCAAGCAGTCCTCCCACCTCAGCTTCCCAAAGTGTCGAGATTACAGGTGTGAGACACCATGTCTGACCTTAAATAACTTTTTTTTTTTTGAGACAGAGCCTGGCTAATTTTTTTTTTTTTTTTTGAGACAGAGTCTCACTCTGTCATCCAGGCTGGAGTGCAGCAGCATGATCTCAGCTCACTGTAACCTCCACCTCCCGGGTTCAAGAGATTCTCCTGCCTTAGCCTCCTGAGGAGCTGGGATTACAGGCATGTGCTACCACGCTTGGCTAATTTTTTTTTTATATATTTTTAGTAGTGATGGGGTTTTACCATGTTGGTTAGGCTGGTCTCGAACTCCCAACCTTGTGATCTGCCCACCTCAGCCTCTCAAAGTGCTGGGATTACAGGCATGAACCACCACACCCAGCCAAATTTTTGTATTTTTAGTAGAGGCGGGGTTTCACTATGTTGCCCAAGCTGGTCTCAAGCAGTCTGCCTGCCTCGGCCTCCCAAAGTGCTGGGATTACAGGCGTGAGCTACTGGTTGGCCAAGATAACTTTTAAAATTAGATAGTGACATTAAGTTCACATATAGCACAAGCTGCTGTTTAGTTTATAATAATTCAAATATAATGGCTAAGCTTTTTTTTTTTTTTTTTTTTTTTTAAGTAGTTGAGGTTTTTTTTTTTTTTTTTTTTTTTTGTTTTTTTTTTTTGAGAAGGAGTCTCACTCTCAATAAAGGCTGGAGTGCAGTGGCATGATCACAGCTCACTACAATCTAGATCTCCTGGGCTCAAGGAGTCCTCCCATCTCAGCCTCCCGGGTAGCTAGGATATGCATTGCATCCGGCAAAATTTTTTAATTCTTTGGAGGGATGGGGTCTCACTTTGTTGCCCAGGCTAATGGCTAAGCTTTATTGAATGGTTACAGTGTGTCAGACTAGCAGCAATACCATGTTCTAAGTACATTATTATCATCTCTATTTTATCCATGAGGAAAATGAGGCACAGCGAGGTGAAATAACTTGCCCAAAAGCACAAAAACTTGGAAGTAGTGAAGTAGGGATTCAGTCCATACCCTATGGCTATAGAACTCAAGCTCCTAACCATTATATTGTACTGCTTCTTAATGTACCTGAAATAAAGGAGGGCACAGTAGATGAGCAATACAATTTCTTAAATACTATTCATGACTAGCAAGTGATATAGAAAAGCTGAACCCCAGGCCTGAGTTTTTGTCTGTCCTAAGGAGCTGGTTCTAGTAACAGAAATGCTCAATTGATGATACACTTATAATTCATTTTTTTTTTTCCTTTTATAGGTATCCATCAACAGCCAAGGTGAGTACCTGACAGAGTCTGTTCAGCCTTATTTAAAAGCCTTAATCTGCTCATTGAGGCATTTCTATTTAGAGGATGCCAGTCCTCTGAAATTAATGTGCCTCCCAGTTCAACACATATAAGTATTCCCATGGTGTTGCATTTGTTTCTGACTTGGTATGTGTGTTAATATCAACTTACAAACAAGTGATATTCCAAAAGTTTATTAGATGTTGAGAGCCTGGAATACATTTTCGCATAGGAGCCATGTTATAGTTGAAAGTGAGTTTCCCAAGATAGCCCCTAAAATTTTATTTTAATCAGGTGAAATGACAGTATTAACACTGTTTATGAACTCTCTTGAGTCCTGAGCATCATAATGCCTAATGTGAGGGACCTAGGTTGGGATTTTGTAGCTGCAACTCTCTAAGAGTGATGAAAGAGGGATTTAAAGGGAAGAACTGATCTACAGTAGATTCTGTTTGCAACAAGAAGGGAGTTTGTCAGCAAAAAGATAGTTGCTGTGCATATATAATAAGCTAAGAATTCTTTAAAGTCAGGATTGACTGTGTGTTTTGAAAATTTTTCTTGTATATATTGCAGGTATACAACATGATATTATGAAATACATACACAGTAATGTATCGCTTAATGACAGGGATACGTTCTGAGAAATGCATCAATTAGGTGATTTGTCAATAGATGGACATCAGAGTGTATTTACACAAACCTAGATGGTATAGCCTACTACACACCTAGTATATATGGTATAACCTATTGCTCCTAGGCTACAAACCTGTAGAGCAGGTTACTGTACTGGATACTATAGATAGTTGGAACACAATGGTATTTGCATATCTAAACACAGAAAAGGTACAGTAAAAATGTGGCATTATAATCTTATGGGATCACCATCATGTATGTGGTTGAAATGTTATATAGTGACGGTTACTATAGTGAAACAAATTAACGTATCCATCATCTCATTATAGCAGTTCATTGCCCTCTCCAGAAAGCAGCCATAATCTACTCATTTAGCAAAAATCATGAATGTAATGTGCGATTATTTAACTATATTCTTCATGTTGTACATTCCATTTTTAGGATTGGCTATACTTAATATATAGACTCTTTGCTTCTTTTTTTTTTTTTCCTGAGAGTTCATCTTCAGAAGACTCTTTGGTTCTTAAATAAATGGATGTATACAAAATAATAATTTTAAAATAATGGAATCTTTTGGGGTAGGTGAAGAAGTATCACAGTGTATATTTTTTGTCCTTTTAGGAGAATATGAAGAAGCACTTAAGGTAATCATTATTTAATCTCATTTCAAATAATTTCAAAAATATTATTTTCTTTTTTGAGACAGTGTTGTGCTCTGTCATCCAGGCTGGTGTGCAGTGGCACAGTCTTGGGTTGCTGCACCTCCACCTCCCAGGCTTAAGTGGTCCTCCCACCTCAGCCTCCTGAGTAGCTGGGACTACAGACACATGCCACCACGCCTGGCTTTTTGTATTTTTTTGTAGACACAGGGTTTTGCCTTGTTTTCCAGGCTGATCTGGAACCCTTGTACTCAAACAATCTGCCGGCCTTGGCCTCTGAAAGTCTGGGATTATTAGGTAGGAGCCACCACACCCAGCCTAAAATGTTTATTGAGTGAAACTGAAACCTGAATTCCATTAGTTGTGGGGAGAAACTAATAAGTGTAAACACAGTGAAGCCTGTTTTTAGGGAGACTGATGAATGGGCGTGACACTCAGCAAAAGGCAATTCATAATGAAAAGGTCCTTCTCAGTTATTGTCCCATTTCATTGCTGGTCTTGGTGCTGCTGTTCTAGTGTTTTAAAAATACAAATAGGCCGGGCGTGGTGGCTCATGCCTATAATCTAAGCACTTTGGAGGCCAAGGCAGGCGGATCACCTGAGGTCGGGAGTTCAAGACCAGCCTGACCAACATGGTGAAACCCCATCTTAAAAAAATAAATAGGCCGGGCGCGGTGGCTCAAGCCTGTAA